AAAGTGAAGCAGTTGCCATGTTGATCAATGCTTTTTAATTCCTGCAAAGTACTGAGGATGATGCTAGGAAGTTTTCAAAAGTCAGAGGTGTCCAGCAGCACCTCTTGATCGATGTGCCGCATGAGTGTCTCCTACTTTACATGAATATATTTAGGACATGGAAATATGTTTTGTATTATGTGTCTCCTTTCAAAAATTAATCTGGAATTATTCAAGGTTTTCATCACGCAGGGACTTCAGGAATTCCAGCTTCCTGAGACTTCCTCTAAGTGCAGGCCCCAAAGTGTGAAACTTGGTGTATTTGCTCGGGTCCTTACCTCTTGGTGGCCTAGACTTTCTCTGGCAAATGGAGGAATTGAGCAGCAAATGGAAAGCAGCTGCCCTGCCCTCCCTCTTCAGCTTCCACTCTGATGTCTTGTTTCTGAGAAGCTGGTTGCTGGAGGATAAATTCCCCGGTGTCTAACATTTTTTGAACCTTTCAACAGTTATTTTTGTACCAGAAAGTGTGAGACCATCACCCTGATCATGTAACTTTACACAGGCAGTCCCTCTACTCTGCTGCATGTAAGATATTATTCCTGGCCTTTCATCCAGTTCCCACAGAAGACTAATCAGATTTGTCTGTACCACTTGGTACACGGACTACTGAAATGTGAACTAAGGCACCACCCTGTGAAGGATATGCAAATGCCAGGATTACACTCATCCTCTCAGATCTCCATTCAGGGCAGATCTGCCATACAAGCATTATTTTTTTATGGAACAATCTTCCTCAAGAACTGCCTTCTAAATCAAAGAGAAATTCCTGTATAGATTTATTTGGCATTAGACATTAACATAATATATTCAATTGTGAATTTAAGAAAATCTGTATTTATGTAAAAATCAATATTTTTATCTAAGTTATTAAAATGACTAGTACTACCTGTATAACAAATAATATAAAATATAATATAGAGGATGTCACACATGTGTCGTTCTGCAGTTTGCACCTTTTCCATACGCTAGCAGCATGTTCCCTGTCCAGTACTTACTTGCACTTTTTCTCCATTTCACAGATTATCTTATTATTTCTTGATAGTAATCTTGAAAGAGCCAAGATTTTTAATTTTCATGAAGTTCAACTCACCTAATTTTTCCTTTTGTTGTTTTGAATTTTGGTATCATATCTAAGAGTCTTCCACCGAATTCAAAGTCATATGATTTAACCTTATTTCTTCCAAGAATTTTATACTTTTTGCACTTAGGTTTACATGATACATGTTTCCAACTCCATTTGTTTACATGTGCCTGTCCGGTTGTCCAGCACCATTCCTTCAAAGACTGTCCATTGGTATCGGCACTATTTAAATAAATCGGCTGACCATAGATGTATGGGTTTATTTCTCGGCTTGGTTACAGTCCACTGACCTCTGTGCTTATAGATATGCCAGTACCACACTAACGTGCTCACCACTGCCTTATGGTCAGTTTGGTAATCTGTGTGAGTGCTCTTGCTTCAGTCTTCTTCCAGCATCCTTTGGGCTCTGCTGGTCCTTGCAATCAGCTTGTCAGTTTGTACCGAAAAGTCAGCAGGTATTCTGATAGTGAAGGCACTGAGTTAGGTTAGTATTGCCATCAGTTAGGTTAGCATGGCCAAATTAATAATGTTAAGTCTTCTAGTCTTTAACATAAAATATTTTTCTATCCACTTAGGTCTTCTGTGTTTCTTACACAAATGTTTTATACCTTTCATAGCACATAAGTTCTTCACTCCTTTGTTAACTTATTTCTAAGCATTTCATTACTTTTAATGCTTCTTCTGAATGGAATCATTTTCTTAATTTCATTTTCTTTGTCTTTTTGAGACAGGGTCTTGCTATGCAGTTCAGGCTGGCCTTGAGCTCACTTTGTAGCCCAGGCTGGGCTCGAACTTGCAAGGATCCTCCTGCCTCAGCCTCTCGAGTGCTGGGATTACAAGGCATGCACCACCACACCCAGCTCTTAATTTCATTTTTGTAATAATTTCTTGCTGGTGTACTAAAACACAACTGATCTTTACATGTTAATTTTGTAGCTTGCTATTTTGTTGAACTAACATTAATTTTAACAGTTTGTGTGTATATATATGTGGACCATTAGGAACTTATACTTAACTGATTTTATTGTCTTGAATAGGGATTATTTTATTCCATTCCAAATCTGTATGTATCTCCCCATTTTCTTGTCTAGTCGCTCTAACTAGAACTGCCAGTACTATGTAAATAGAAGTGGTCTGAAAGGTCTAACCTGCCTCATTTTTTATCTTAGAGGAAAATTTCTATTACCATTAAGATGTTAGCTCTGAGTTTTTCATATATGGGCTGTATTGTGTTTGGGTAGTTTCCTTCTATTCCCGTTTCATTGAGTGTTTTTTTTAGAAGAGTGTTGAATTTTATCAAACATATTTTCTGCTTCAGTTGAGTCAGAGATGTGGGTTTTTTTTTATTCTGTTCATGTGATGTGTTACACTGATTGATGTTTGTATTTTGAAGGATAGTTGAATTGCAGAAATAAATCTCATTTGCTAATGCTTAACAAGCCTTTTAATCACATGCTGCTGAATTTGTCTTGCTAGTATTTTGTGGAGGGCTTTTATATTCATATTCATATAAGATATTAGTCTATAAATTTTTTCCAATATCTTTGGTTTAATTTCAGGAGAATACTGGCTTCAGAATAATTTGGAATTGCTCCTTAGTATTTTTGGAAGAATTTGTTCACATCAGTATTAATTCCTTTTTTTTTTTTTTTTTGTGAATATTTGGCAGAACCCATTGATGAAGCCATGTGGGTCTGGGCTTTTCTTTGCAGGAAGAATTTTAATAACTGATCAGTCTCTTCTCTTATTATAGTCTGTTCAGGTTGTCTGTTTCACCTAAGTCAAATTCAGAACTTGGTGTCTTTCTGGAATCTAGCAATTACAGTGGATATGTAATATTTCTTCATAGTTTTAATTTAGATTGCCATAATTAATAATAATGTTTAATATCCTTTTATATGTTTATGAAAAGGTATAACTTTTGTGAAATACCGGTTAAATATCAGTCCATTTTTCATATTAGTTGTTTGGCTTCTTATGATCAAGTTGTGAAATTTCTCTATTCTGGATAAGGGAGCTTTATCAGTTTGATTTTAGTGTCTTTAGGTATGTGGTCCACTGTGAGTTAACTTCTATGTATAATATGAGGTAGAATGAGGTTCATCTTTTTTTTCAGAGATTTATTTTGTTGAAAACATTATTGCTTCTTCATGGAACTGACTTGACCACTTGATCAAAAGCCAGTTGCTTATGTAAATGTTCCATTTCTGAGATGTCTCTATTTTGAAACTATGTTGTCAGGTGCACATATAATTATGTCTTTGTAGTGTACAGACCTTGTTCTCAACAGCAATTTTTATTGTTTCCTTAATTTTTAAAATAAATTTATTATAGACAAAATATAGTTTTGTATTACTGTTTTTTCATTCAATCTCTACATTTTTATTGTACTGTGTAGTACATTTTTCCTTACTATAATTATTGTATTTGGATTTATTGTCTTTTGCTTTTTGCCTTCTCTTTTTGTTTCACTCTTCTTCTCATCTGCTCTCTTTTAGGTTAAACAAGTTTTTTATTGGCAATTTGTATTCCCCATCACCTTGTTAACTTTATGCCCATGAATTATATTTTGTTGGTTGATCTAGGAACCATAACTTGTACCTCTTACTTTCAGTAAAATGTTGGAGCCTTGCAAGAGTTTAGTTCTATTTGTCTGTGCTCACCCTTTGTGCTATTGTTATTGTATATGGCACATATCTCTATCATAAAAATAAAGTATAACATTATAATTCACCTTAAAGATTCCTGTGTCTGTTAAGTAAATCAAGAAAAGCCACATTCATTTACCTATACTACTTATTTTTTCATTCCTCTCTATAAACACAATTTGTTGCTTGATGTCTTTCACCCTAAGATGTTTCCTTTAGCACTTAAAAAATGTAGACCTATTAGAAATGAATTCTCTTATATTTCATTTATGAACAGTGCTTTTAACTTTTATTTTATTTATTTATTTATTTTTTTGGTTTTTCTCTGGTACCGGGAACCGAACTCACGACCTTGCGCTTGCCAGGCAGGCGCTTTTGCCACTGAGCTAAATCCCCAGCCCCTTAACTTTTATTTTTGAAGAACAAGTTAAATGGACATAGCCTTCTTAAAAAAAATGTATCTTTCTTTGCAACACTTTGAATATTAATCCAGTGTCTTACAGCCTCCAATATTTTAATGAGAAATTAGCTGTTTTTCATACTTTTGTTGACCTCTATCTAATGTGGAATTGTGTGCTTTGATGGTGGTACTGGTTTTGTTGTTGGTATTGTTTTGTGTTTTGGCTTCAAGCAGTTTAATTATGAGATCGCTAGGTACAGATTTCTTTATTTTATTTGAGTTCCTTAAGCTGCTTGTAACTCTTACATGATATTTTTCAGCAAACTTGGAAAGATTTGAATTATCATTTCTTCAGGTATTTTTCTATCCTTTCTCTTTCTACACTCCTTGTTTGGCTTGTTGTCCTTCTGAAGTATGAAGAATATTTGGGATACATAGTTTTAAACTTTGGAAGAATGTTTAAAAATCAAAGAAAGAAGCTGTGCATGGGGGCACATGCCTGGAACCTCAGCGCCCCGGCCGTCAGAGGCAGGAGGATGGCCAGTCCAAGTCGAGCACAGGCGACTTAGTAGAGCAGTGAGACCCTGTCTCAAAATAAAACATAACATGGGGTAGAGATGTATCTCAGTCCAAAATCCCTAGGTTCAATCCCTAGTACTGTGAAAATAAGTGAGTGAATGAATTAATTAAAAGAGGGAAATGTGGATGAAATGCCAAAATATCCAAGAAAAGTTAACCATGTGGGCACAAATACTGCACAATGCAGTCTGCTTATAGTGGAAAGTATTAATGTATCTGTCCTCTTTACTGTTTTTGCAAAATTTATTCCTAGGTGCATTTCCTCCCTCTGCTATTTATGCACGGAAAGACTTGCTGCAACGATCGACCCATATTGCTACCAAGACTTTCCAAGCTCTTCGCATATTTGTGAACAATGAGCTCAATGAACTCTACACAGGACTTAAGACAGCTCAGAAGTTTCTGAGACCCGGCGGTCGCCTTGTTGCCATCTCTTTTCACTCCTTAGAGGATCGAATCGTCAAGCGATTCTTGCTTGGGATAAACATGATGGAAAGGTTTAACCTAAATGTCAGACAGAAGATTGTGGATAGCTTGGATTCAGATCGTGAAAGCAAGGAAGGAAAAGCGCCTTTAATGTGGAAAATGACCCACAAGAAGGTGCTGACTCCGGATGATCAGGAAGTGCAAGATAACCCCAGAGGGCGCTCGGCCAAGCTGAGAGCAGCCATCAAGTTATGAGAAATTCGGCTTAATACGATCTTCACATTTCCTTCAGTGGTATTCCCGAACACCATAACACAGCTTACAGTGTGAGGCAATGTGGAAATTGACGGTATATGGCATGGTTTTTTTCTCAGGAAAAATTGTAGGAAAACTTAGCATGACGTGGAGATTTTGCATTTCCAGACCGGGAAAATGCATTTGTCTCTGCATAACATTTGACTTTTGAGACACAGTCCTTTACCTGATGAGGAAATAACTTAAAAAGAGTATTTTGTGTTTGTTTAAACATGTAAACTCAAGCTGTCAAAGAGAAAGAAATTATAATCGTATCTGCATGCCCTAAATTCTGAATTTAGATGTTCACATTTGCAAAAGACTTCTGTGGTTCAAAAAAATTAATGATAATCATGAAATGAATTTTTAATTTCCCTAATTGTGAATAACTAATTGGTGTAGCTTTTTTACTTTTCTGAATTTCACTGTTGAAATTATAGTTTCTTATTTTACTGGGATTTTTCTTTATGAAGTGAGCTATTTTTTCATTTTTCAAAGTAAAAAAAAAAACTCAGAAGTACCTAACAGCCATCATAGAGAATTGTTTTACAGAACTTATATTTAATGTCAGTTGTGTCTATTTTAATAACAACTCAGAAAACCTTCAGTAAATAATATAATCTCTTGTCTGAATCCTACATTTTTCATTGAACTATTCAAAAGAATTCAGAATGTATATAAAGTAGAAGACTATCTGATTTATTCAATATGCTAAAGTAATGTCCCCTTAATATTTTTACTTAAGTGTAATAGTTGTAATCAAGAGAGAAGCTTATTCAGAAAAGTCTATTTGGTAGAGAATGCTTTACTACGTCGATGAGATTGCTTCCTAATTCCAGTGTTAACGCTTTATGTCTAAGTGTACAATTCCAATTTATTCATTATTCAACAAGTGCTGAATTTGTCTCTAGAGAGACAAACGTAAGGACAGTACACATGGGCCACGGTTGCCATCCTGTGGCACTGACGGTCCTGTGGAGGAGGAGACACGACAAGGAGGTGCCCGAGTGGTGCATTCAGAGCGTCAGAGGGATCTGACCTATCGAAGGAAACCAAGCCTGATGACATGGTCCTCCTGAATTGCAACTTGAAGGGTGGGTAGGAGATAAGGAAAGCACTTGTGGGGTGGGGGCGGGGCATAGTGATTAAAGATACACATGCATGAATCTTCTCACGAGTGCTTATCCTTGCAATATTTGCACTATTCATTTGCTCAGTACACTGTTTCTTCAAATGCAGGAAAGATTCATATTCTCAATTATGTTGACAAATTGGGAATCCAAGTGAATAATATGCATGTAAAATAAATAAGAATTAAATACATTGCTTTAATTAAGGCTTATTTTACTTCCTAATATTTAACTTTGGCTCCCAAACTTCTGGGGTGCTATTACTTTACAGGTTGTATATTTAAATCTGAACAGTTTTGAATGAAATCGGTATTAGAAAGACTTCTGTAAGAGTAAGCTCAAAACAGAAAGCTCAAAGCAGGAAGAGAATCCACTGCGATTAGTCTCTCGGCTCCTACCTGAAAACTTTCGTGAGCTTCTCTTCACAGCTATAACATATTTGTGAATGAGAAAGATTCCCCAGTTTAAATTCCCACCTGAGACTCTGAGAAGAAAATAAAAGGCCACACTCATGTTAAACAGTGATTTCTTTGCTTCATCAATCATTTTTTTTTGTTAGTCCATGTTTTCAGACCAAAATGTCTGCATTCCGTACATGGAGTTGGTCTGAGTACAGAATACATCTCAGTTCCTTTTTCGTTCCCCCTCCCTCCACCTCTTGATTCCCTTTGCATCATATATAGTTAATATTGTCTTCAGTGCCAAGTGGAAACTCATCGTGGTGGATTGGATGGTATTGACACCACCCTGATAGATGTTCTCACAGCTTCAGAATGCATTGTTCATTGGAAAGACAGTCGTTTCGGGTGTAAGTAGTTAAGATGGGGTCATACTAGTGCAGAGCACGTCTTTCATCCAATATGACTGGTGTCTGAGAAAAGAGACAGGGACAGGGCGCAGAATGCCCAGTGAGAAGGAGGCAGACACAGGAGTGAGAGTCCTGTAAGCAAAGAGGGCTTCAGGCAGCAACTGGACATGAGGAGAGGAGTCTGAAGCAGATGGACTCTCCCTCAGCATCTGCAGGAGGAACCTGGCCTGGTGACACCTGGATTTGAGATTCTTGGCTCTAGAGCACTGAAAGAATACGGTTCTACTATTTTAAGCCACCTGGGTTTCTGGTAATTTATGACTTCAACTCTAGGAAACTAATACTTTGGTAGATAAAAGTCTTGAACAATATGCATGAGAAAAATCCTTCAGTAAGCACAAAATTGGCTTCAAAATGTTTTATTGCAAAAATATCTTAACCCTTTTTGGTTACTGTGTAGTTGAAGCTGGACTTGACCTTACTATGTAGCCCACACTGGCCCTGAACATGCAGTAATCCTCCCCTTGCAAGCAATGCTTTCTGAGTACTGGGATTACAGACATGCACCACCATGCCCAGTTTGTTTTGTTTCAAAAGGTAGATATTAGTCGCTGTATTCTCACTGATGTTTCTAGGATTTTAAAGATATAATTGTATCTGTATCTTTTCTATTTCATGTAATATATATATAATTTATGCTTAAATCAATTTGTATTAAATTTGTTATGCTATAATTGATATTTCAAAGGGAATACAGTATGCCAATTAGGTTTCTAAAATTAACTAATATCTAAAAATTCACTTGAAAATATTTAAAAATTTTATTTTTTAACCTGTCTAGTATTTCCAAAGGATTTTAAAGAGAATTACTATTTCTACTGTTTATTTCTAAATTGTAATTCTTTATTGTGGACTTTAAGAAAATTATTTCAGTGTCATTTGAAAACTTTTGTCCAAAAATGAGACAGTTCTTAGTGGGAACTAATGGTTGAAGGTGTGTGTGTGTGTTTATATTCACTCAGTAAGCACATATTAAAAACTATTTAGGAAGCAATAAAAAATATCTCTCTCATTTCTCTTTTCGTGTTCTTTCTTCATGTCTTTCTCTGTTCACATCAGTGAATGAATGTTACATAAGTTGAGATTATTTTAATGTATGTTTCAACTTTACCCTGCAAAGGGAAATGTTAGGTAATATTGGCATGTACTCTGGTGAACCAAGCCCTACATGTTAGAATCTTTCTAAATACGGATATGTATTCGCTAAGAACTGCTTCTGCTTAAATTTCTATATTTATTTCAGTATAGCTATTTTTGTTCTGTATTTATAATTGCTACAGTTTCCTAATAGTTTTTTGTGTGAGCAACGTTCTATGTGATAAGAATTAAAATACAAAAGGAATTTTATGAAGTTCTTGATAAATTCAGGAACAGAAATTTTTTATTTATTTATTTTTTTGGTACTGGGAATTGAACTCAGGACCTTGCACTTGACAGGCAGGCAGCTGTGCCACTGAGCTATATCCCTGGCCCTAAGTGACAGAAATCTTGATCAAAAGTGTGTTTTTCTCAGAACTGCAGTGCTATATGTTTGATGTCAAATGGAGGATAGTGTGTAAAAATCAGCAGGACATTTTAAAGATGCTGGATTGTATAAAAACCCTAACTATTATTATATTATTTTCTCCAGTTTCATCTGTTTATAGCTACTGTTTTCAGCTTTGGTAACATAAAGAATGAGCTACAGAAATGCAAAGAGAATGTTTAAATATAAATTATTCTTTTAAAAGTCTATAAAGTATAA